TGTTTTGCTGGTGACACTGTTGGGGATTTATTCAAAATTGAAGGCACACTGAACCAGCATGGCTACCACAGCATCCTGCAGCGACATGCCATCCCATCCGGTTTGCGTTTAGTTGGACGATCATTTATTTTTCAACAGGACAATGACCCCAAACACACCTCCAGGCTGTGTAAGGGCTATTTGACCAAGAAGGAGAGTGATGGAGTGCTGCGGCAGATGACCTGGCCTCCACAGTCACCGGACCTGAACCCAATCGAGATGGTTTGGGGTGAGCTGGACCGCAGAGTGAAGGCAAAGGGGACAACAAGTGCTAAACACCTCTGGGAACTCCTTCAAGACTGTTGGAAAACCATTTCAGGTGACTACCTCTTGAAGCTCATGGAGAGAATGCCAAGAGTGTGCAAAGCAGTAATCAGAGCAAAGGGTGGCTATTTTGAAGAAACTAGAATATAAAACATGTTTTCAGTTATTTCACCTTTTTTTGTTAAGTACATAACTCCACATGTGTTCATTCATAGTTTTGATGCCTTCAGTGAGAATCTACAATGTAAATAGTCATGAAAATAAAGAAAACGCATTGAATGAGAAGGTGTGTCCAAACTTTTGGCCTGTACTGTACATACGGAGCTGGTGCTCTTCCACAGAGTCCGCCATGTTGTTTTTACAGTATCCCAGAATGGACAAACTAAACATTGGCTTTAGATAGGGCTGTTCACATTTTCATGTCGCCCACTATATTTTTCATACACTCTTGGCACATAGGAGAAGTTTCAGCTAGTTGCAATGTTGCAACCTCACTGCTAGATGTCACTAAAACCCACATGCTAGACTTTAGTGTATCTGGACAAGGAGCTTATCTTAAAAACTACTGTTGGGTAGTTTTATATACTGTATAAAACTCAATTATATATGTGCATTATAGGTTTTTAAAATGACAATCTGCAAAGTAGCCTAGTAATAACAGCTCTTAAATAAATGTATCAGAGCAAAGAGGGCAACATTTACCACCAAAATTAAGGGCAGTAGAGGTGTAAAGTAAAAAAAAAACAAAAAACAAAGACGCAATACTCAAGTGAAGTGCATATACCTATAAACTGTACCAAAGTGCAGGACTTGTGGAAATGTACTTGGTTCCCTTCTGCTAGTGGCAAACACATAGTACATTTTGTCAGTGACGGTGTGAAAACAGGACAAGAGGCTGTGACACATACAGGAACACACAGTTCCTTCTGAATATAAATCCTTTCCTTCTTTCTTTGAGTGTTTTCTGTTAGCCATGTCGCTCACAGCTCTGTCTCTCAGTAGACCCGTCCTGAATTACTGCATTCAATTGTTGCTCTGTTGGCTCAATTTGCTCTATTTATTTGTTGATATCTGCTTGTGTTGGATCACACAGCCACATCCACACAGTATCAGTATGCATCACAAATGAAGAATGTCCACTGACTGCATCAATTCCTTGACCAGGCTTAAGTTAAGTTTTCGTGACGATGAGCCAATATATCGTATTTCAAAAAGTACAATTCCTGACGCTTTTGCAGTCATACATGCTGTACTCACAATGCACACTTGAAGCTCCGCCCACATTTTTCTGATATTGTTTGCGTCTGCTACATAAACGCCGACGGATGCAGCAGATGTGTCTGTGCCAGCTGCAAACCAACATGACAGCAAAGCACATACACACACACTTGCCACATTGCCAGAGGGCTCTTACATGCTGTGAATCAGATCTGGTTGAAACTAGTGGCTCCAAACTTGACGCTGTCCTCGTTGCACTGACCGCGTTCTGACCACTGCACATTTAGCGTATAGAATGCTCAAATCCTTAAATGAAAGTCCAGACAGCATATTGATGAGCTGCACAACACACAGCAATATGTCTGGCCGGTACTTTGAACCACTGTGTGCATGTGGTGTGTGTGCACGTGAATATGCCAGTGGGAAGGACAGCAGTGGTGTGTATTAATGGGATTAGGATCGACTTTACCCTTTCTCTTCCTCTCATCCTTTCTCTTTTAACTCTCCCACAGCCCATCTTTTCCTTCACCCTGTCCATTCATCTCTTAGTCTAGTATATTAATTCTTTTGTTTTGCTTGTTTTTGTATTCATCTCAGCCCCCACTTTCCATAAGTCATAACCCTGCCCCTTCTATTTCCTCCTTCCCTCTGTCTTTTTACTTCACTCTTGTATCTATTGCTCTAATAACTCCCATTTTCACTCACAGTCCTTCCTCACTCACTTCTTCGTCCACCCACTTTAAACTCCCATCCATCTTTCTCTTTAATATCTAACAAAAACACTGAGGCCTGTTGCAGACTAGCTCTGTCAGACAGTGAAGCCCCTGTAGACGTTTTGTGCTCGGTCTTTTTGGCTTATGTTCACTGTACTTACATAACCTGTCATCAAAGCACTGCAGAGTGCGTAGCAACACAGGCAATCCATGAATTGTATGAATGTATGAATGGTAGTCTCCCTGCTATCCATCTGCACCTATTCACTGAGATCTATTAAAGCGTCTCTACCTTCGATCTATCTTAAAACTGATTAAAAGGCGGCATAGCAAGGCCATTTTCTTTTACAATTACTTGAAATAATGCTTGTGGGGTTGAAAGCTTTCCTCTCCACCCCCTTTAAATGCTGTGAAAAGATGTTTTGGATCTATTTGCTCAAATAAAAATATGAAGATATTGTTCTAATGGCTGTTCGAATCCTCAGGAAGCCCAGCCCTGACCAGATTTGCCACACTTTTGTCAGCTATGAAGGAAGGTAAAATGCTGTAAAAGAGACAGAATTTGTAACATCCTGCCAGACTTCTCATCAACTCTGAGCATGCCACTTTGGCTGAGTTTGAGGACTGCTTGGCTCTTACATAACTGTCACCAAAGCACCATATGGGGGGTCCTATTCAAACTACTTTTAATTGGCTTTTTAAAGGTGTGGGACTGAATCCCAGTATATGTTATCACACATCTATCCTCTCACTGTCCTCATTAGCTCATTATCTTGTCTCAAACATGGACCTACCCAATCATTACATGACACTGAGATCAAAATGTGATATCAAGGGCTCTCATTAGTCAAACACTGAGAGCACAGTGAGGGAGAATCACACCTGTCAACCAGAGTAATGACAGTGTTCATAACATCGGGGCCTATTACAAGAATGGGGGACTGACTGGAAAATTGCCTGCTGGAACATTTGGACATCATCGGAAATTAAAGTAGATGTTAAACACTTCCATTTTGCTCATTACCTCCTGTAACAGTGCCCTGTTTGCTGACCCTTGACTACTCGAATAAAGCAGTGCTAGTGCCAGCAGTAGATCGCTTTGTGCGCAAATGTAAATATGTGCCTGGAAAACATCATGTCTGTAGCCTAAGCCATGTAAGATCTGATAAATGTTGGCAAGAAAATAGCTGGAGTGCTTTGTTATTTGCCACACAGGTTATTTGAGCTATTCATTTCCCCCAAAACCGAGACCACAGCCTCAAAGTTGAGCCTAGGAAATGAACCACAAACTGAAAGAGAGCCTTATTAAAAGATTTAATAGCGCTACAAAGTAAGAAACTCTGCGGGTTGACACTAGTGCACTCTCAAGCGCATCACCCCGGTCGAACAAAAGCACACAGTAACAGGCTGCACAGTGGTTTCCTAGCACTATTATACACTCCATCTTATTCATGCTTCCTTCCCATGGCATCTTTTCCTCTGCATCCTCCATTCAAACACTGCACAGCCTTCAAATCCATCATTTTATCTCAAGAGATCTTCAGCTCAGGAATGCCATTTTACCTTTTATAAGAGACTGTGCTTGAATATTTTCATATTTAGAATGTTCCTTATTATGTGCCAACTCTATTTTATGCTCCCTGCATTTCTTATTAAAGCAGGAATGTAACAAGTCTTTCTTCCTCCTCACGGACAGCTGTGCACACATGCCCTCACAGGCAGCACCAAACACATATACACACACATCATTAGCACCAAAAACCATAGAGCAGACAACTTCACTGTTTTCCGTGTGTGTCAGATGTTTTAGTTTTGATCCATTTACGACTAATATAATGTTAAACTGCACATGTGGGGGAGAAAACAGACAAGTTCAAACTGTGCCATTTTCCAGAACAGATCTAGTGTGTGGTACAAAGACAACATTTGCATGTTTGACAAAGGAAATAAAAGGAAAAAAAAAATGCTTGCACACTTAGTTCAGCTCAGCGGGCTTGCTGCCTATAATTACTTCTTCTTTGCTACAGCAAACTACTAATTATGAAGATGTTTCATGTGCTATTACTGTACCCCGAAGAAGAAGAGAGGAGGTGGAGAGAGGATCCAGGGAGAAAGAAAATGTTTGCCCTTTTTCTCTGTCAATGTTTTGTTTTGGAATAAAGTCCCATTAGATTGCATGTAGATAGATAGATAAATAGATAGATAGATAGATAGATAGATAGATAGATAGGATGGGATGGGATGTGGGTGCACGTGACTTTCTGCGAGTGCAAATCAATTTTGGCTCCCAGTGTACACGCTGTCCAACCCAATTATGCACACGGGTATCAAATTCAGAGTTTTAGTCTTTTCAATTATTAATTCCCACACATCATGAAGGATTCATCTGGCTGTCAGTGATATGCAAAGCGTTGAGAGGGTCTGGAAGTGCTCGTGCCTTGTGTTGGAGCACCAAAACGCTCCGTTGAGCAACGGTTTGAAAACAATAGAGAGAAAACAATAGCAGAGCAGCGGAGATACTCAGTCCTCCATGTGTCTCATTCTCAAAGGCAATTACAGTGACGGGCACACGGCTGTGGGCTACATAATTAGCTCTCGGTTACCGGTTTAACATGAGGAAATGTGTTTGGGTGGAGATAACAGGACAAAACGTCACACTTTGATGTGTTATGTGTGGCACGCGACACTCAATTCAATAAAAAGCTACGTGCTAATGCTAAAATAACAAAACAATATATGTGACGCGGACAAAGGAAACTCACTCACCTCAAAAATGCAACATATTAGCGTGTGTTTCTTTTGTCATCCCCGAGTCCAGAAGAGACAACAGATTTAAAGAAGAAGAAGAAGAAGAAGATGCTCTCTACTTGTCTCAGCTTGAAAAACCCATCTCAGTGAAGCGGGCTCTGTCCAACAATAAAAAAACAGAAGAAGAAGAAGACAAAAAGCAACTCCAGAAAAGCCCGAAGCGAAGATGAAACAATGCTCAACTCCTTTGGCTTCAATTCCTCACTCACTGCTTTGCCTCTCGGTGTCCACAGACAGACACCAGCGCCGTTGTTAGCCGGTACCTCATGTAATATTGAACGCCGATAATGGACCGGTGCGATGGGAAATGGAAACGCTGCCTTGCGGTTTTTTTTTAATTCCGTATTTACATCATGCTTTTCCTATTATATCCCCCTCTCCTCCTAAACGAGCGGTGTATGCGCTTCCCTTTGTGCTCGCTGTCTCGCTCGCTGTGGGTAACGGGTTAAACCATTCCCGCAGCACGAGAGGGGGGTGCGGAGGAGCTATTCATGTGGATACATGGGGACGAATGGGCTTGGTGACTCGTGGCCAAATGTTGTTATTGTCGGGGATAAAGAGACGGGGAGGAAGAGATGAGGAGAAAAGGGAAGGAGAGAGGGAGAAAGTGAGGAGGAGGGGGAGGGGGGTGGGGGCTGCAAGGATGCAAAGGTGGCTTCACCAAAGCTATTGCAAATGTGAGAAGTGGTTAAAAGAATATTGTGTACAAAGCAGCATGGCTTATTTGACATCCATTCTTATTCTGGTAGATTATAATCACACCCTGAACCATTTACTTCTCACATGCAAGTAGGATTTCTGCTAAGAACCCTCTCGTGCTAGATTATGCAACAGAGATATAATTACATCTGTGTAACTGTAGGGAGGAAAAGGCATAAGCACCAGCCTTGGTCATTAGAGTGCTTTTCTTTTCTTGTTCTGCAGCCTGTGACTTCCCTCAGCACCAGCACAGTGTTAGTTCAGGACCCTGGAGAGCTCCCAGCCTGCACCAGCCACCTGTGTCAATAAAGCGCTGTTGTTCATTACCATCACCAATTATCACATTTATTTGAGGAATAATGCATGTGTTGTTATGCACCAGGAGCAGAAAAATTAACGAGTATAGCCAACTAGTTAACCAGCTCACTGTGAATTCACTAGTAGCATCACTCAGAACAGGCTGATCTGTGAGATGCTGGCAGCCTCCCTCCTCTATATGTCTGCGGAGCATCAGTCCCTCCTCAGACTCAAAAACAGCCTTTTTTTTTTTTTTTGAAGTGAAAAAACTTATTCACAGCTCTGTACATGCGGTTCATATGTGATTATGATATGAGCCAATGGCGCCATCTGCTGGAGACATTATTATAGCAAAACATATTTGGAACCAGATAAAACCTGTTGTAGTGTAGTGGTGAATATTATCTTGAGAGCTGCTGAGCATCCCGGAAGAGACACATTATCAGGGCCTCGCCATCATACACACATTTTCCAAACAATGCCTCATTTTTGATGTTGTTTTGATTTGGGATATTTTGGTGTTATATTTCCAAATCAAGGTACACTGTATACAAGTGCATTCCATGTTTAAACCTTGAAACAGGAGGGTCTTTATTAGTGTCTAGAAAGCGTTTATTCCTGGAGTCACTGCTGAGCTGCTCTTCACTGATTGGCCGCTCTTGCATGTATGGTTCATGTCACTTAATGTGTTATGTAACCATATAAAACCAGATTGATACTGATGTGTCTTTGAAGATTTACAGCATGCATGCTTGGAAGCAGGCCTGGCTGTTTCTTGCCATTATCTGACTGTGAATTGTGAATGTTCTCTTGGATATTTATTAACCGTGGATATGAGACAGTGATGATTTTAAGGCTTGACCACATGATCATGAGGTCTGAGGGACATTTAAGGTGAAAATATAGATTTCAAAGAACAGAATTTTATTCAAAAGCAGCACATTATGTTCATAAATAATGCAGCTTTACCAGTTGATTTATAGTCTCCTATTACAGACCCCCGTGTGGACGCGCAGCAGCATCTGTGCCTTTAAGAGCATCTCTGACAGCATCCTCCTCTGTCACGGACGCGCACACAGCAGCTCAACATTTGAGAATACAGCTTAGCCTTCTGCACACACACACACATCCTCCTAAAGATACATTTTTACATCACATTATTACATTTATCGCCATTATTTCTTCACTGGACATTGATGCATTTGCCTCAACGGTCGCCGTAGCGGTCCATCCGATCGTTATTGCTCTTGTTTCCTTCCTCCCCGCATCCAGAGACTGATCTACGCTACAAGATGGCTGAGTTGAATTTGGGGAAGGGGCTGACCGCAGGGAAAGTGGCCAGCAACGTTCAGAAGAAGCTCACGAGAGCCCAAGAAAAGGTAAGAGGTGCTCACTATCGTGTTAATGTGTGGTGGGAATTATTATGCGGGCCTGCAAAGCCGCGAGGCAGCAGTGCCGCATCCTCCACCAAGGCGCAGTGTCGCATCACGACATCATAATAATACGGGCAGGGATGCTGAATTTGGGGATGGGGATGTCCACTTTAAACACATCGTTCATGTAGTCAATGTCACGCAGCGGGCACGTGCGTATTGCAGTGACATATACTGTACGCCAACTCATAATTTGGCCCCTGACTGATGTGCTCCTGGCATTTTAAATCACTATCTGTGTGTGTGTCAGTGAGTGTGTGTCACACAAATAGTGACAGCAGAAACACCCTCTTACATCCTGATAGCACTATGATGATAATTATTACCCATGCTGCAATATGTGCATAGGTGGTAGATATGAGGCCTAGTCTATGCGTTCATGCACCTGCGCGTTGTGCTCTGAATAAATGGCAGGGGGCGCTATTTGACTATCATAATGCATCATGAGCTGTGGGGTTAAAGAGGGAGACAGGCAGAGAGGAAACTGATAGTGTTGCCCCTTTAAAGCTGGTGTGCATTATGTGTGAATGTCACTGTATTGGCAACATGTAGCTATGTGAGTTTATATGGAAATAGTGTGTATAATGCATGCATTTATTCATGTGTGATGTGACTTATCCGTGTTATTTATTAAATTAAACAGTGTTTGATGTGTTTAATGCAAAGAAATCATAATTCATCTTGGATAAAGTGAGCGATCAAGACAAGAAAACAGGTGGATGTTCTCACGTGCTGTGTCTTTAGGAAACGTCTCCCTCCATCTGTCTTGTGACTGTAGTCTACTGAATCAATTGCGAATTTCACCTTTGGTATGGCTACTAATGTTTTAACGTGTTCAACTGACAGGTTCTTCAGAAGCTTGGCAAAGCCGACGAGACCAAAGATGTTGCGTTTGAGGAGGGAGTGATCAACTTCAACAAACAATATGTGAGTACAGTCCAGTGAGAGACACTATGTTGTATGGCACAATCATATTTCTAATTTGCCCATTTGCCCTAATTTACTTTTTAGTCACATCTGCCTCCCGCATATAGGAACTGAACTTTGCTTTAACTCTAACAGGTTTGCATTTGAGACTGAAACATGTACTGGCTCCACAGGCTGTGAGCATGCTGGGTTTGTTTTGTGTTCTAACTTCTAAGCCCCATGTTTTTGTGTTTCACCCCCAGGCTGAAGGCAGCAAACTGCAAAGGGACCTTAGGGCATACCTGGAGGCAGTGAAAGGTAAACCACACACAGCGCTGCATCAAAATCACACTTGTAGCAAGCTGCACATGTAGACACACAGTAGTGGATGTACAAATACACACCATAATGTGCTGTTTCCCACTAACGTAGAATATGTGTGTTTGTCCTCAGCCATGCACGAGTCCTCCAAGAACGTGCAGGCATGTTTGAATGACATGTATGAGCCAGACTGGTACGGCAAGAACGAAGTGGAATCCATCGTGGAGGTCAGAGACACTTTTCATTGTTAGATGAATGTTAGATTGCCTGCATGTGTGAGAGTGTAGGGACAAGCTGGTTTCTATATAGAGGTCAGAACCACTATATAGTGTATTAGTTGATTAAGTGTGTGTGTGTGTGTGTGTGTGTGTGTGTGTGCGTGTGTGTGTGTGTGTGTGTGTTTGGCTCCCGATTCGCAGTAGCTATTATTCCTATAGTTTGCACAGCTGTGTGAGAGTATCCTCTTGGCAGAATTGGCAAAATTCTACATTAATGTCTCTTGTGATAGATGTTGAGTAGCTCTTTAGATTTTCCTCTGACTTCATTAGGTGCATTACTCTTGAAATTACTTTTGGATTAATGTGACAAAACAACTTGAAGCTAGCTGCGAGAAAATACAGCAATCAGTTAAAAGGGTTTTACTTTATTCTTAATCTAAATTCAAGATCACAACGCCAAGACGGAGCAAAAGAGCTACTGGAATTAACTTTAAAGTGGTGGAGACATACAATCAGGATGCATAGTATTGTAACAAAACAAGTGCTGCAAGCAATTTGTCTTATTTATCTCTGATTGTGTACTGTTATGTTCATTCATGCTGCAGGATTGTGATGTGCTGTGGACTGACTACCACCAAAAACTGGTCGATCATGCTCTCATCTCCATGGATACTTACCTGGGCCAGTTCCCAGACATCAAGGTAAGCTGTGTGGTCAGAGGGACACGGAGCAACCATGACCAGTATTTATTAGCATCTAGTGTTAAGACACTGAATGACACAAGTACTCATTCTCCGTTTTTCGTTTCAGGCACGTATAGCTAAGAGGGACAGGAAGCTGGTGGATTACGACAGTGCCAGGCACAACTATGCCACCACGCACAAGACCAAGAAAAAGGACGGGGGTATTAAAATCACCAAGGTAAACTGATTCCAAATATACTGATACAGAAAGCAGTGGCACACTGACAATGATGACATGTACATGGAAATAAATATTATGTTTTATTTGTTGTATTCTCACTCGCTCCTCCAGCCCTCCTCTTTGTTGGAGAGAGCCACTCCAGGCTGGGCTCAGGGTATCTTGTCTGCACACAATGTTGCCCAGAGCAGTCTGTCCAGGAGCCAGGTACACAATAATCTTACTGCACCTCCTACATAAACTGTTGACTGTCAAACACAGCTGTCGAAGACACATGGAGGTCCTCAGTTTGAACTTGTTACCTTTCATCGCTCTCTTTATCCTGTCGATTGGGCTGTTAGCGGGACATTGAATGGCCGTTATCAGGGGTGATAAGGGTCATAGATATGGGTTGGTAGGAGTCTGACACACCTATTTTGAAGCTGAGAAGGCCATTATCAGACCATGAAATGAGAATTTCCACGAGAAAGGGCTTTCATGGGACTTTCTCCAATGTGCAAGAAACTCTGCTTATAGGGTGGCAAGGAGTGATGGGAGCTCAGACATCCGGAGGGAGCTCGGAGTACAGCTGCTGCTCCTTTGCGCCCAAAGGGGTCAGTAGAGGTGGTTCGGGCATCTGATTAGGATGCCTCCTGGGCGCCTCCAGCTAGAGGTGCTCCGGGCACGTCCCACTGGTAGGAGGCTCCGGGGTAGAACCAGAACACGCTGGAGGGACTACATATGTCATCTGGCCTGGGAACGCCTTTGGGTCCCCCAGGAGGAGCTGGAAAGTATTGCTGGGGAGAGGGACGTCTGGGGTGCTTTGCTTGGCCTGCTGCTCCCTTTTCCGGCCCCGGATAAGCGGACTAAAATGGATGGATGGATGGATGGATGGATGGGTGAAACAGAGCTTTCACCCAGGAGACCATGATACAAGTCCCATGTGAAAGCAATATTAATGCCAAACCCTAATCTTTTTTCTAAACCTAACCACCTAGGTTTGGCAACGAATCCCAAGGAAAGTTAAAGTTAAACCTAAAGAACTGGTAACAGACATTACCAGCAGGTGTGGCAGGCCCCACACTGACCCATATCTATGAGGCTTATAACCACAGGTAACCATTTAATGGACTGAAAACATTACAATCTAGTGCTTTTTCCGCACATGTTCTCTGACACTTGCTACGAATATCTAACAAAAGCAAAATGAAAATGACAACAACTGTAGACAAACCATGCTGAAGCTTAATCATAAGTGTCAGGTGATATTACACATGTAAACAGCAGGTAATTTATCAACAGGACTCCAAACTGACAACATGCTGCAAAAGCATTGTGCCAATGCAATGTGTGTGTGTGTGTTTCTGTGCATGTATGTGTGTTTCAGGCTGAGGAAGAGTTGGAGAGAGCCCAGAAGGTGTTTGAGGAGATTAATATTGACTTGCAAGAGGAATTGCCTTCACTCTGGAACAGGTGTGTATGTGTGTGTCGGTGTCTGCAGAAACTGATTTTCCTGTTGACGGATGGGTGCTGTAATTAGGTTTCACTTACATCTGTGCTACATTTACCCGTACAGGATGTTAAATTAAGTAAAGCCAGCAATGCAGTCAATACTGTCTCTCTGTCTCTCTTTCTTCTCTGCCCTTTGTAGTCGTGTTGGGTTTTATGTCAGCACCTTCCAGAGTTTGGCTGGGTTTGAGGAGAAGTTTCACAAGGAAATCAGCCGGGTGAGTTTCATTTATAGACCTCCATTAATGCTGAATTTAGATGAGGATAAGACGAACCTAATCGACATGGTGTATCAGATAGCAGTCAATAAAAAATGTTGAGAGTGCCAGTTTTAACTCCATCAGCAATCTAATCTAAAAAAAAAGTCTTCCTGCTGTTCAGCACTGTTTTTTAAACGTAACGCAAAGTCTGTCATAGTTGATTTATTTGTTTATTTTTCCCCTGTTAAACAACAGTAGGAGATGGGGTTTTAACTGACTGCAGAGAGATTATCCCCCGCCTTAGCTCAGAATTTGGACACGATGATGCAAACAAGCCGTAGCAGACAGACACACTCTGCAGCACTTAGATGATATTACAGCAGGGAGGAGCACAAAACACAGTGTAATGATTTTTATCATAGAACGGGCATTGACCGTGCCAGAGCAGTGTAGGATGATGATGATGTAATGCTGTTGGTGTGATATCTAACACCCCGCCTTTCCCCCCTCTGCAGTTGGATCAGGATTTGTACGACATCTTGGTGAAACTTGAGAAAACAGACACAAGCAGGTAAGTGAGCAATGATCAAGTAAACTCTGTCACAGCAAGGCTTATTATAGCTTGTGATTATTAATCTTGTGACAAAAAAGGTTTTCTATTGTGTCTTCTTTTAATCTCAGAGATTTTGATTCTGAAGAGATTCACAGAATTAAGTGCCAAGATAATAATTTAGCATGTTGGCATGTGTTGAAATCTATATATATGAGCACAGTGATGCAGGGAAAACCCAGTAACCTCAGGTTTTTGCGATTCTAAGAAAAACCTCTAGTCTACCTGGAAACAGCTGTTTGTTGGCAATCCTGGGAATCGCTTAGAGCGCTGAGCCTCATCAATTAATCACTGTGGCTGGTCATCCTAACCAGCAGAGAAAACACTTGCTGTGTAGTGTACCTATGGCACCTTTGAGACTTGTGCAAAAATAAATCACTTCAGAAATGTTTCCAAATATTTGAGCCTCTTGAGAGCACATAATTCGTCCTGCTTGATGGATGAGGTGTACTGCATCACAAGTTAAACTAGCAGTAAATTAAATAGTGAGGTAATTTTCAACAAACTCATTTATTTTCCCTATGAGTTCAGTGTGTGCCAAGAAAGCAAACAGTACTTATCAAAAATACTTGAAGCTACAGGAACAGACAAGCAACCTGGCATGTATTAACCTGGAGCCACCCCTGAACCCCCCCTTTCAGAAAGACAGGTGCAAGAGGCGCCTCATCGTCAGGAACAAATAGGAGGTAACCGGCAGCAACTGTGGTAACCATGGTGACACAACTCTTGTCTGTCTGTCCAACTGACCTGTCTGTCCAGCTGTCTGTCTGTCAGTCAGTCTGCAGGCTTGGGAGATTTAAAGGAGAGCTTGGTTGTGCAAGTGAACTCACAGACTCACTGATTAGAGAGCTGTGCACCCAGAGCTGCAGATATGTAAGAGCTGAGCAAACCTGCATGGCTAAAGCTGCACCAGGCAAGACTGTTACATAACAATACAACCCAAACCACAAGGTATGCAGTAGGGTCAGGTACATGGCCGGATGAATCCACTAGGGGGCCACAGGACATAAATGAGTTGCTAGGCCTCTATGAACCCCCTGTTAAACCCCTTCGCTGTGTACTCTGTACATGTTTTTCTGAAGTTGCTGCTCAGTTGCTGTTTGCTAATTGCACTAAAACATTAAGATTTGCAACATAGAGGCACAAAACTGATATGATAAAGGTCTTTAAACTAGATCAAGCCAAGGCCTCAGGATCAGCTAAGCATGACCAACTTTAAGGCCTTTATCATGTCAGCTGATTGTTCAAGTGCTGCATATTCCCAAACAAAGTTGTAAAAACAGTATATTAACAAAACCCTGCAAACTATAAATAAGGGTACTGATGGACGGGTCCAACAAACACTGACGTTCACTCAGGAAACTGGTGTTCGTGTCCTGTAAGATTATAAAGCCAAACCCTGTTTGGTTTTTTTTCCTAAACCCAACCATGTTTGTTGTCAAAGGGAAAAAATGTCAATTTTCATTCTGACGTAGTGTGTTTATTTTGAAAGAGACAGTATGCAAATGCTAAATTTCCTGTGAGAACGGAAGTGTATTTTGAAAGAACACAATGCATGTAACAGACAGAACTTGACACGGCGTCCCAGAGCATCACCAACCAATGCACCCAGAGTACCTTTCACGTCATATCTGGATGTGGGAAGTCCATGACCAAATGTCGATATGTGACGAGGTGGAAGTGAGAATTTATTGGACCTACATAGAAAGCTAGCTTGCTAATAAATACCGTGAAATATGACATTATTGGTACATTTTCCATTTTTTATGTTGCATACCTGTCTCCCAGCTCACTGCCAGCCAGGCAGCATCTCTGGTGTGGGGCAGTTTGTATTTTTCATGGTCAATATCATGCAATATCAGCTGGGTAAACACAGCAACAATCAATGTCTCCTCCACGCATTAGCCTACTACTTTGCTAGTGGTTGAAGCTACGACTTTGGCAGTCAGAATTCACCAAAGTTGAACTCAATGTGATGTGAAGATGCAAATTTGTGAAGGTGCTTTGCTACCAGAAGCAAATGTTTTATTGGCCACTTAGCTCACACTGAATGAAAGTGAACAGGAGGCAAATGTTCCGCAATGCTAATTTCGCTCATGTGTGACCGCGCTCTAAACCCGCAGCTTTTGGGGCCCCACTTGTCCAATTTCAGCTTTCATATTGTAGTGGTTTTACCTCTTGCTGCTATTTGAAGCCACCTATGTACAAAGTTGCCTGGTCCAGCAATAAATTGCAGGTTTTCCAACCCTTAAAATATCCACAGATCTGGTGCTGCTTTGTCAGCTTTAGAATATCTCCTCTATGACAGCGAACGCCTCTATCACTGCTCGCTTGTGAGGATTAACTGGAGGCCCACACAAAGCCTGCTTGCATGGGATGGCGGGAGGAAAAGGAAAGGAATGGAGTGAAGACAGACTCACTTTTCTTGCATGACAGCTCTTGCAACAACTCCAACAACTTCCGCTTGGACTCTTGTAGAGCATGCCTTATAACCTTTAAAGCTGTGCACTTTTTAACCTTTGCTTGACCCCTTACTCACATCGTTTGCCGTCCTTGTTGCGTTCTCTGTAATCTGTCTATACTCTCTATTTTGTCCTCCATCTCTCCCTCTCTCATTCACTCAGTGTGGGTGCGAAAGAAGCATCTAACCACACTCTCAGGCCAGGAGGACCACCGCCAATCCCCAAATCTCCATCCAAGGTAAGCACACACTGAGGCTGTCTCTTTGTTTGGAGTTGTGTCCCAATTATGTCTTCAAACAAGTGTGACTAAAGACAACAATGCTGGCTTTTAATCCATGTTGGAGCTATTGTCAACATTTTCATATGTGCTCAGTTAAAACTCTGCTAGGAAAAGAAAGGTTTAATTTGTGATCTAGAAAGCCTAGAATCTATATTCAACAGGATTGTGGCACAGCTTCATCACCGTGTTTCTTTCTCTGTTCTAGCTAAGGCCTGCAGTGCCTCCTCCACCCAAGGTGACCCCATCTCGGGAGTTGAAAACAGAGAACATCATCGGCCTGTTTGATGCTGCAGCTACTCCTGATATCAGCGTCACCTCCCCTACAGAGGTGAGTGAGCGGCTGCTGTCAGTCAGCCATAGCCTTTTAACTTTCCTCTCTACTGTGCAGGTCAGAGCCTGGCCTGCCCCTCCTGCTGCTTCTTCTCTTCTCTTCTCTCCTCTCCTCTCCTCTCCTCTCCTCTCCTCTCCTCTCCTCTCCTCTCCTCTCCTCTTCTGTCCTGCTTTGTGGCCTCCTCTGTCCTCTCTCCTGACCCTCTGTTGTGCCCAGTGAGCCAACGAGCCCTCCTATTCCTGTTGTTATCAGTTTGACAGTCCTGCAGTGAGCAGCCTGTTGGACATGGACCTGGACTCTTTCAGTGCAGCAACCAAAGCCTCCACGGTCACACAGGTGGATGATTCACAGCATGAACATATAGATCCTAGAGCCACTCCACTGCAAGAAATGCCAAGCTTCACAAGAGATTTTATCTTTTATTCAGAAAGGTTTTCATTCATTTCATGATATTTATATATTAAAATAGATTCCTGTGAATCTTCCAATATGTTGTAGTTAAAGCCAGTTTTAGCCGACAACTTTTACTGCTGCCAGTGCAGTTGCGTGACTTTAAATACATCGACACAAGCTTGATAAGTCTGGATACAAAATGAAATCACTTGGCAAGCTTGGCATAGTTTGAGGTGTTAGCTGCTCTGCTTCTTTCCAATCTATCAAACGAGAGGTGGATGATGGCATGATGATCTGTAGAAACCTGCTTTTAGTGTCCACTTCTTCCTGCTTCGGCACTTATCCACAGATCACTCATGGCATGAAGACTAAAGCCCTGCTCTGCTCTTACTTTTTTCTCTTCAGAACTGTACAGCGGGAAGTGGTGTCGTTTTAGATACTGGAATGACATGAGTTGTACTTAATTTATCTATAGTTGCTCACATTAATTGGAAGGTAAGATAAAATTAGTACATCTCATGTTAGTTCACTCATTAAAATATATTCAGCTGTTGTTGGACCCATGTCTGCTACTCAACCTCAGTACAACATTCTTATACCTGACAGATTAATGGCATGTAGCCTGTTGTATATCTTCACCTAGTTAGAGCCAGACAAACCGGCCCCGTCATGACAAAAAATGCAGGGAAGAGATGGCATGGTTTACATCTGTTGTCGTTGAGATTTTTCAGTCTGCGATGAAGTGAATCATTGGCTTTCCCTAAAAATCTACAGCATTACAACACTAAATAAACACACACAGTTTTACCATTCAGAACATAGCTGTCATGCTTCAAGTTTTCTTAAAGCGGACTCCACCTACATTAAGCATTGCATTGTGTTATTTCTATGGTCATTGAGGTTCAAACAGTATTTGTTAATGAGTTTGGCTCTCTCAAAGCCAGAAACAAGAAAAGGAAGTCTCAAAATGTGACGTCTTAAGCCTAGTTCACATTACACGATTTTCACCCCTATTTTGCGTCGAGGAGACTATCATAATCTTTTGAGTTTTCATACCTGCCGACGTGTGTTTCTGTCATCGGGAGTCTCGCCACTGAGCCCTTGCCGACAGAGCCCCAGATAATGCGGTGATGTCACCAAACTTAGAGAATGACACATCATAAAGGCATGGATATTCTTCTCAGTGTTGAATCAGATCTGCCTCCAGGGCCTGGGTCCAAACACTACGTGCACCCCATGGTCCTGTGGACGCCGCCATTGCTGTTCTTGCTTGCCGGCTTGTCAGCGTTGCCAGATCTTGGGAGAGAAACAAGCAACCAGGGCTATGGAAACAAGCCCAAAAGAAACAACGGATATATATAGAGAAAGGCGACATTTAGAGAGCAAGCCCAAATAAGCAACTCCACTTTAGAAACAAGCCCAAAAAAACGCAACGCGACTACCAATATTTGTCAGTGACTTAACAAAAAAACAAGCCCAAAGTTGCGGCAAATAAACGGACCTGGCAACCCTGCGGCTTGTCCACCTCACATTTCTTCCGTCCTCCTGTGTGCTGACTGGGGACGTGTCCCGCCTCTCATTGGCTGATGCTCTTTGTCAGTCGTGTCACACTTCTCCAGTTTTCTAGCATGCCAGATATCCAGTCCCAGTCACAGACGAGGGGGTGACTTGCTCATAGGCTTGTTCACACATGAGGACTCATCGTGGCAGACTATCTGCCGACTCACCTCCGACCCAAGGTGGCTCTCAAGATCCTCTGCGACGTCAAAATTGTTGTGAAAATCGTGTAATGTGAACTAGGCTTTAGGGTATAAAGTCTGGAGCTGCTCCATAGACAATTAATAGGAGCCTGATTTTGTGGAGCAACAGAATGTTTTTTTTAATATCCAGATGAGCTTTATCCTATTGCAGTATTTTAGAGTGAAATAGAAAATGTACCCATAAACTCAGAATGTTCCCCTGGGTGCTCTCAGTGTCGTCTACTGTATAACATCTTTCAGTGTGTGATTGCATACTACATATAGTTCAGTTAGGACTGAATACCACTAAGTAAAATGTTGATACTTTATTGCAGTCATGTTAGATATTCTATCTTATGCTACCTGGAGATGTGGGATGACTTCTTTAGTAAAAGTGGATAGAAAACCTTTTGAGATTTCAAATTCTTTTTTCTTAGTTTTGATATATCTGCCAACAGTTATCACTCGCCTCATTGCAGGATATATGAACCTACTGTAAAGGTAAATCTTTTCACGACATCATTTGTGTCAAGATACTCTGATGCAAGCAATATGTTACATTGTTAGAGGGAATGAAATGATCTGAGACTGATTGCAAGATTAAACTCGACCTTGTTTTGCAGTGCACTTTTCTGCTACATCCTGCTCACCCTGTTGGTGACCTGTGCAGTAAACATATGACAGCTGCCACCTCTTCAGTTTTACATTTAGCAGACTTTACCTGCCTGTACTCTTGTTCTGCTGGAGATCTTCTGCTATGGGCTTGTAGGTTTAGCGCATGGAATCTGCACTGGAAATGTTTTATTGAATGCAACGGGCAAAAGCAAGAGCTTTTTCAAGAGTTTAGTTCTCTCCTCTTATTCTGTTGCTTCCTCTGTTTTCCACAGCCTGCAAACTGGGACTCATGGGTGAGCATATCATCCTCTTCTTCATACATTTTTTAATGTGCAAAACTAAAAACGTATCATTATGATCATCATCCCCATCTGCATATTCTTATTTATGTTCATAGTAACTATCAGTTCATATGTTGTCGCTTACATTTACTACTTACGTAGCCATTATACAAGCCCCACTCTCATTATGCTTGCTGCTACACGACACATGCAGGACATGCTGGGTATGGACTTCTATAATGGTCATTACTGTATGTAAACAAGCTTTTTCCATTAATGGATCTCTTTCATTTGTCTGTCCCAAATCTGTTTGTGCGTCATCTTTGTGTCTGCAGTGCTTGATGTGATAACACTAAACACTGAAGAGATTGTTGTACAGCACAAATAGAGCTTGGGAACGAGCGTGGGTCAATTCAGTTTCAAATTGACATTTTACAATGTTATATATTGACTCAATATAAATGGTGTCTAATGTGCAATCCTCTCTTAAGAGCCGTCTCTCTCTGTTCTACAATATAAATGCAGGATTCACAGTATATTGATGATATACAGCATACTGTGGATCTAAAACCTGTGGATTGATACAGACACCACATCCATAAAAGATAAAAGATAACAAGCTCACATTCTCTTTGAACATGAATTTAATTGTAAATTAAAAGCCCCAACGTTGTGAAACAATTTGTAACTGAATCAGCCTCCTTTCTTTCCGTTTCCCCTCGTATCCCTGTATGTTCACATGTTGCACTGATTGACCATGTAGCCTTTACATGTTATCTACATGCCCCATGTGACACACAGGGAACAGTTTTGTTTCTGAAAGTCGAGTGAAGTTGCTCATGTTTTCAGTGGATTGTTTCATGGAAATGAGACTGGTAAACTAATGAGAGCCAGTGGGCAACTTCACAAAGCCCTGCTTGCAACTTGGCATTCCGACCATCAACTAACTTTTATGTTCATCCCTATCACTGTAAGAGAGAGACGTGTCTCAACGATCATATGGCTCTGCTGTATTTGAGCTTGAGGCAAAGCAGTGATAGCTCAGAAAGGAACGACACTTCTGCTCTTACAAAGCTTCCTTCCTCTTTCTCCATCTGAACATAGCCGTGGGAAAATAAACCATGCTTGCAAGCTACACGCAGAAGATCCGACATCTATTTTCCGATGGGAAAAGGCTGACAGTTTTTGCGTTTCTGCCTTCTGCTGCCACCTTTCCTTATCTTCATCTGTCTTTTGATTTTATCTGAACCTCCTCTGTAAAGGTTTATCCCTCTGCATCAATCTTCTTGGATGATGATGATGATGATGGTGATGATGATGACTTGCTGCTGAACTTCTCCCATTGATGTCCAAGGCATTTTTCATGGCCCCATTTCTCCCTATATGTTGCCAAACTATCCCATTTTTCCTTAATTATTCAATTTAAGTTTAATCTAAATAATGATTCCCTTAAAAGGCCATTCTTGTGGTTTGGCAGGTTTTAGCCTTTTTACCTCCCAACCAACCATTTTCAAATGGCTGCTGACATAGTAGTGCTTTGCGTGAAATGCTAATGCTATGCTAACATTTGCTAAATTAGCACTAAACAGCGGTGGCAGGGTACTGGGAAGCGTTTCATCCTAGAACTGTCATAAAAAAAATCTTGACATTAACTTTAATTAACATTAGCTGGGTAGCTAACGTAATCCTACGTTAACAGTGGGTTGACTACACAGCAACAAGCTTATGGTGTATACGGTGATAAAAGCCCAGTGCTCACCAGCAACATTCAGCGTCTGGCCGATCTTTGGCCAATCTGTTCCCACAAATGGACTTTTCTGTCTTTGTTGTTATAAAGTTTCTAACTGACATGAGCATGGATCTATGGGAACTGCCCATTGGTCCGACAGCCCATTGGTCCGACATCCCATTGTTCCGACCATATTAAACCCATTGTTCCTTAGTCCGTTCTGAAATCATCACGATGCCCTGTGGTTAAGGTTTGGTTAGGTCTAGTCACAAAAACCACATGGTTAGGGTCAGGAAAAGATCATGGTTTGGGTTAAAATGAAAAAGAAAGTAACAAACACATAAGCTGTGAGCCTGCTTCGCCTCAAGCCTTTCCCAGCTGACCCAGAGCCGGTCACGGCGCACCATCAAGGTAGAAATACGCCCGCCGGGAGCCGTTCAGCACCGCGGACAGTCGGACTAATGGGATGTCGAACCAATGACATGGACCCAGATCTATAAGTCTAAAGTAGTTGAGACATTTGCATTTCACTCTTGAGGAAAAACTTCAAACCTTCTGGTAGTGCTAGAGGAAAAGTCAGGGGATTTGAGTAATGAATGTCTTTACCAAATCGCATGGCGATCCATGCAATTATTGTCAAGATATTTTAGAATGGACAAAAGTAGCAGGCTGAATGACAATGCCATTCCTAAAGTCCTGCTAAAAATTCGGTATGATGGAATATGGTTAGCATAGGATATAGGAAACACAATATTCTCTTAATGAGCTAAAGCATGCAAAATCACGTGTATGGTCCTTTATTGTGATCTCCCTTCAATTTTGATACCTTACCCGCCAGTCTGATAACAACCCTTGTGCCCTCATTTAGGACCCATTTAATATCTCTATCAATTTCCCAATCCCTTGTCCATCAAAAATATTTTACTTTGTCCCTCAGCCCATTGCTTTGTTCATAGTCTGGCCATACCCCCAAATCGCCTGAAGAAATTCTTTATTCTCCTGGTACTAATTTCAATTACTGCTGAACCCTTGAGTCTGCCTTTAAATATCCCCTACGCCTTGCCTTTCTGTTCCTTAAAATTTTCTCAACCATTTGATTTATAAAGCCCTATTACCCATACGGTAAAATATCTCTTTTGACCTCTGACTCCTTGAAACCTGACCCTTGCCCCTCAGCATGAGGACAGTGGTGCCCAGGAAGAGGACACCAAGGAGCACTATGACCCTGTGGCTGCTGCTGCAGATGCCTGGGGGGATGATGGTTCGCAACCTGTCCGCTATGATCCCATAGCAGCTGCCACAGAGGGCTGGGGGGATGACGGAACCCTACCTGTGCGCTATGACCCTGTGGCTCCGACTCAAAAGGGAGGGGGGGATGATGAGAGCCAGGAGGTTCATTACGACCCCGTGGCTCAAGTCCAGGATGACTGGGGCGATGACGGGGGCGAGCCGGTCACAGACGTGCCCGTCCCAGAGGATGAAACACCTGCAGCTGAGGCTCCAGCTGATGCCGCTGAGGAAGAAGCCACACCGGCTGCCACCACGTTGGATGATGAAGAGGGACAGGTAACCGAGGAGAGAAAAAAATGGAGGGATGCATCTGGACGAAAATGGTGGATGCATCAATTTTTGAGGAGGAGGTTTGAGCATGGGGTACTGGAGAGAAACATGATAGAGAGATACATTGTAAATAAAAAGGTGGAAGGATGGAGAAATCTTGAGATGCAAAGATTTAGGATGCATCAGGACCAGCAGCATGGATGCATCAACTGTGACATAGAGGGCAAGTTGGGAATTAATTGCTGAGGGAGAGAAGAGTGTAGACATCTGCTTCTCAATACATAACCAGTCACTGCTAATCACAAATCCAGGCACATATTATGCTGTGCAAAAGATTAACCTATATGGCAGCTGTGCATTAGTACCCAAGCTAACTGTTTATTCAACATACTTGCTTGTATTAGCCATAACTTTCCTGTTTAGGCTGTGTTGCTTGTCTTTGTGTCTGTCTTTGTCTGTCTGTTCTTCTTTCTGTCATTCTTTTCCCCTCCTTAATTCAGTCTTTCATCTGTCTCATTCACTAACCTTTCGCTGTTATCATTCTGTGTCTGTCTGCTCCCAGGGTGAATCTGCAGCAGCTGCTGCAGCAGCACCAGAGGAGCCAGCGCCAGCAGAGGAGGTACGTGCAATAGGAACTACTATAACATGCAATAACTTATAATGTGCTTTTAACTGCAAAATTATAGATATCAATATAATGGTGAAATATTACAATTTTATACATATAATAATACAGGAGTGGAAGGAAAAGGTGCTATACAAGTGCAAGTCCACGTACCATCTTTACAGTGTTATTTTAAGAGCTTACAACATCCCTAAATGTTTCCTGATTAGGGTAGGTCAGGATAGGATTGGTCAGTGGTTCCCAACTGGTCCAGCCAAGGTGTCCAGATTTGTCCTTAGTCATTAGTTCGAGGTCCACAAAGTTTATATTCAGCATCATACTTGCATTTGGCCATGTTTCAAACGACTTTGCTGTCTCTGTTAAGTGGCAGTAGCTCAGTCCATAGGGACTTGGGTTGGGAACCGGAGGGTCGCCTGTTCAAGTCCCCGTCTGGACCAAAATATGGAGCGTGGACTGGTAGCTGGAGAGGTGCCAGTTCACCTCCTGGGCATTGCCAAGGTGTCCTTGAGCAAGGCACCGAACTCCCCACGGGCAGCCACTCTGACATCTCTCCACTTAGAGCATGTATATGTCCTGTTTGTGCATGTGTGTGTTCGAATAATTAGAATTATTCACTCACTCTACAGCATGAGTGAACAGCATGAAACTGCTCTTCAAAATAAAGTTTGGTTTTTTGCATTTCACTTACTTTCTATTCAGAATGGACCCGCAAACCCACTTTGGGACCACAACCCACTAGTTGGGAACCACTGTTTTACATATGGCATCATACCACTTCATTTACTAAAAACAATCCATCTACTCACATAATTTTTGTCTATAATATATTCCTTTTTTTTCATCACATTTAATTGCAAACATATAAATTATTTTATGCTGTTTCCACTGCAATTGGACTGTGTCCAGTGTCTAGTTACAGACACTGTGTTACAGAAATTTCTGTTGGCAGATTTAAAAAAAAACCATCAGACCTTCAGAGTTTAATTGTGTCTCTTTAAAAGATTAAAACATTTTAAGTGTGTACTACGTGCCAGTAAATGGAACCTCTAATTTTTTCTAGACACCTGAAGTAGCGGCAGAATCAACAGAAGTAACATCACAGCCTGCAGACATGCCACCTAGCTATTTGTTCAAGGTAAAACAGGATGCAGGATTAGAATAGTGCTGAGCATTTAATTAACTCAAATATATCTTACATGGAGCTCACTCATGTTTTGTGTGATATAGGTCCAGGTGATGCATGATTATGCTGCCAACGACACAGACGAGCTGGAGATGAAGGCTGGTGACGTGGTGCTGGTAGTCACCTTTGACAACCCTGAAGAACAGGTACACACACACACACACATATGTATGCACTGTGGTATCACAGTGACAGTGAGGTGAATATGTACTTATTTGCATGTCTGTGTTTTTAGGATGATGGCTGGCTGATGGGAATGAAGGAGGACGACTGGCAGCAGAACAAAGAAAATGCCACTAAAGGAGTATTCCCTGAGAACTTCACTCAGAGGCTGTGAGAGAGGAGGACAGGGCGTCATTCCAGCTTCCTTCTTCATGTCTCTCTTCCTCTTGCCTCAATCCTTCCTTCCCTCTCTTGCCCTGATACTGTATCTTTACTAGGACTTTGGCCATAGAAGCAGAGCTGTCACAGCCCTGGCTGAAATCATGCATTTCTAAGGTCTGCTACACTGTGCTAAAAGTGGATCTTGGCATTTTTGTGGATTTCTGCATTAATTTACAATTAGAGATGTAGCCATTTCACAGGTCCCACTCTTTACTGTCTTGCTGCACTATTGCTACTACTCCATACTGCAGGAATTGACTAAAGAGTCCTGATCATACAGGATGGATGCAGGGATGGGTGCCTCTGCAATGGCTACTGCTACAGCACATTATAATGTTTTATTCTCAGCCTTGTCTCATCACAAACTCTCCAAGGCATACTCCACCACCATGAGAGAGAAAATGTCTTTTGAGATGTGCTTTTGTTCATTTGATACTGAGAGATTGAGAACAGTGTACAATAATTAAGATAATGCCAAGTGTAGCAGAGTATCCCGTCCACACATACAAGCCCTAAAAATTTCTTTTATAAAGGATGGGGTGTAATTACGAAAGCCAGGCTGACAGGAAGGTCATCACGAACCGAGTAGGGTCCTCATTATGTTCAGAAACATTCACCCAGCAGAATTACACTCTGAAAAAGTAGAACCAACTCCTGGCAGACAATGTCACCCCAGTCAAATTGCAAAAAAGGCCTTTGAATCAGCACCTAACCAGCCAAACAAAACAAAGGTTACACTATTGTAACTCTAGTTCTATTAGCACAGACAGAGCCCTCTGCTGGACTCCATGGGTAATACTCTCCTCCAATTAGGAGCATGCATTCACCCACTAGAATTTGCATAAACATAACCAGCCAATCAGGACGTGCCTTCACAAAAACATGTGGAGCTCATAGTATATAAGGTGACATATGATGCTGTCAGCCATCCTGCACCCTCTTCAGTGAGTGGTGTAGGAGTGACAGGGCCCCTGGGAGAGAGCTACACCTGTGCTAATAGAACTAGGGTTACAATATAGTAACCTTTTTGTTATCTCACATGGGCTCCGCCTCTGCTGGACTCTATGAGTAAAGTGGGTGGAGCTTGGTGAGTGAACGCCCTGTCGCAACATAGCATCGACCCAGCCGCACTGATCTTGACCGGCTAAAGTCTTCTTGCCACAGCCTACCTCTCCATAACTTAGGCCACCGCAGTGGAGAAGTAGGAGGCCCCAGCCACCCCAGGTGTTATGTAACCAAACTAGGTGGAGCTATGGCACTGGAACATGTAGGTGTATCATACCCAGAGGGGGAGTCAGGTGCAAATTTGGCTGACAGCATCTTATGTCACCTTATATACAGTGGGCTCCACACTTATTCGGGAAGGTATGTCCTGACTGGCCAGCTATATTCATCCAAATTTCAGTGCCACTGAAACCCATAGAGTTGAGTACAGGGCTGAGACTGTGTGAGATAGAACAAAATTAGAAATCTCATCCACAACTGGAATGTTACTAATGTTGCTGAGGCAGGTCTACGTCTTCTCATGCTCAAGCGGTTTGTTGAAACAAATCTCTGTTTTTTGGCAATAGTCTGTTTTAGCCACATGTGTAGCCATCAAGTGTCATATTTTGTCTTGGACATCTTGGGCATGCAGGTTCCCTCACCTGTGCCCATTTGGTTATTTTTGGTGGCTGGCTGCAATTCTGACCATATATAAGTGGAGGCGTAGCAGAGAGTGCGTCAGTAAGGACTAAGCATTTAAGTTTGGTGCCAGTGTTTGCTATTCACTGATTCACAATCACTCTGATCAGTCCTGGGGTTCTGCTGCTGACACAATGCCTGTGGGACACATTCAGCCTGTCTTTTATTCCTCCTTAAATACCTACTAGTGACACACTGAAACATGGGCCCCTAGTTGTTGTATTAGCTTAGATCCAATGGTGGTTTAAGTAGTTTGAACCTTTTGTTTTTAAAAAAAAATCCAAACAAATGCATATGCATTGAGCTGGCCATCACCCTAGTTAAAGACAGCAGGAATTTAATAGAAAATGTTTCAAAAATCCAAACAGAAATATGATCACAGAGTCCATTAGAGCAGAAAAACATGACTGTTTTCGTCTTCAGCAGTCATGTTTTTTATTCTTTGTTGTTGAAATTAGTGTGAAGTTGTGTGGAGTGGGCATGTTGAAAAATCTTTTCAAGGATTTTGTTTTTGTTTGTTTGTTTCACAAGGGATTCCAAATATGCATTAGCCTGGCTCGCTAGAAAGGCTAGCCACCAAACTACAACAATGAGACGCTGCTACTGGTAGTATAATAGTTAGGCAGATATGGTTACATCCAGATGCTAATGAAATATATAATAACTGAGCCAGCCTCATTCGTTTATGAAAAATGTGCCGAACACAATTCCTTCCGTTTGCATAGAGACGACTGCCTCCAATGCAGATGATTCAGAATATGCACCAGAGCAACTTCTTTTATTTTTGTATGCTGCCAAGCAATGATTACATATAGCCTAATGTATAACTATGTCAACATAATTGCCAACTTACTGTAGGATGTTATGGAGTGTTTTGTACTTCTGTCAGGTTTACTGCTCTCAACATAGCCGCTTACTGTACAGTAGGTAGTTCAAACTATCTCACTCTCATTCAGTCACTGACTCAGAAGAGATTCACATTTCTCATGATGTTATTAACATGTAATAAGCGTGCGTGAAAACGGTTGTGTGTGAATGTGTGTGCGTGTGTTTACGGGGTTGTGTGGAAACATAAATTCTTTATCTATAGGCTATTGTTATTGGACGATATCACCGCCACCTACCAGGGGATGAGGTCGTTCGTTTACAGGAAGTTTTTTCCGACTGGACAAAGACAAACATGTTAGGGTCATTTTCCACTGGCTGGTATTATGGTTTCAGGTGTTATTGTGCATTTGTTGTGTATAAGTGTAATTTTGCCAAGCTGTGATGACAGATACATATTCTATAAAGACATTCATATCTGTATGTGAGTTACTGTGAGCATGCTGACTTCCCATGTGTTGTTGTGTGAACACCCTTAATTTATGACGATGATGCTTTGGTGACTTTTGAGGCAGCTGAAACCGGCAATTTGTTATTATTTTTTGTAAAATAATTTATTTTGTTAATCCTAGTAAGGGGGATGGTCGGCAGTTATATATTTTGTTTTTCCACCATTCCCTCTCAAATCATTCCTGATTATAATTGCCGGTTGTCTGTCAGCCTTGCCTCAAAATGTTGCTGGGGGATCGTGGTCCAAACAGACTTAAACATAATTACACAGAGACAGGACACATAGAGAAAAGCTCCAAAACCACCAGACTCAGGTGGACAGATTTTTTGTAATGGTTTTCAGTATTTTAACCACTTGAGATGTGCATGATTTTTTTCATATGTATTTTTGAAAAAAAAAAAAAAAAAAGCCTCACATGTGAGAACATCACCTGCACATTTAGGTAAACCAACCACTTTCATATTTTTATTTTTTAAAACATATGTAACTTGTTGAGTGTTTCACCTGGGTCTGGTTCTCTATTTGTCTATGGATGATGATGTCTCCTGTGATGCGTTATGGGATACAACAAAAAGGTTTTTCCTCTACCTAACCGACCAATAATAATAAAGATTACGTAGAATCTCCTTTTGTTTAGTGATCTTTTGCGGTTTTGTGCACAGTCTGCTTTGAGTATTGAAACAGTGCCTTTCTATGTGCTTCTACTTTGCTTTCTTGACGTCTCCTCTGCAAATACTGAAGCATCCAGCAGGGTGTGCTGCGTTCAAGCACTAACTCCATCCTGGGAAAAAAGAAAAAGGCATTCAGGCATCGTGAGGAGGAAAGAGGAGCCATTGCTGTGTGCTGCTGTCCGTGGTACTGAAACCAACCAGCAGCCCACCCTGTAACCACAACCATTCATGCTGCATTGTTCCAGCTGTTGCGATGCATCACCAGTTACAGTGATCACTGTTTTTTTTTATGACTTTAAATGTATATAACATGCAACAGATGATTAACAGCACATGTTCAAAACCCAACTAGCACTCATTAGTGTTTCTGAATTTAGAAATAAGAAGCAGGGCCTTTCAGAACAAGCGTAATGCAAATCAGGGACAGACATGACAGGTGAAAACATAGCTTTTACATGCTGCGGTCAATTTTGAGATTTTGGGCTTTTATGTTTCTATAACATGTCTTCTTTCAGATAGTGGGAAGAAAATGTTCAAAAAACACATTAAGGTGTTTTTTTCTTAGTTTAGATTTGTGTTCTGGAATTTTTTTATTTAATTAAAAAGAATTTGTTTTTTTTTATTTTATTTTTTTACTCTATTCACCTGTAGTATCTTATTTTTGCTCTAAAAAGTCTTGAATTTTACAATATTTTTTAAGACCATTTTCTCACAGAGTTTTCTTTCTTATACTCTGAGCTGAAAATTTCCTCTTCAGTCACACTTAAATATGCCAAACTTTCCAATTTTATTGTTATCTAATTTCTGAAGGTTTCAACAGAGGTTTGGAGTGATAAAAAGAGATATCCAAAATCCCCTCTGTAAAAATCTTTGACTTCAAAATGTCAACGAAATGAAACAAGAACATCAAGAACTGGAGAATTTTGAACCTGGTGTTATCCAGTGTTATTATTTATGTTCTGAAAGTGTATGCAAATCTGCACGTTTTATTAGATAATGCCTCATTTGCTTATTTAAACATCAAATTTCAGAAAACTTGTAATACAAAACATAATTCTCTTAATGTAAATAATTGTTACTGAAGTTAGAAATTTTACCCTTTTCACCTCTATTACATAAACAGTAAATATTACTTATAGGGCTTTAGTAAATTTTGATGCATGTTGCTACCAAATAAAGCACAGAGTAGTTTTGGTTTGAAAACAACAACTTTATGTTTCAAATAAAAATCGTATGCACAGAGTTGCCGAAAATAATAATAGTTTACATTATTTTCTAAAAATAGATCTTTAAATAGTCTCTCCAACAATAGCTTAATATACATATGTGACAAATCTTTTAGAAGGCATGTAGAATAACGCCACGGGGTTCCTAGATACTTGCAAAGTCTGAGTCTTCATACTCAGTAAGTGACGATTGGAAGAACACTTTGGGCGATACGAACTACACGATTATCCAAATTACTTCATCCACCTTTCACATCTGCTTCCCGTAGTGTCAAAACCCCAAATGTCTGTACCTCTGCCGATCTAGGTCTTACGTCCTGGGTAATAGGTGGAATACAAAGAAAAGACCATGCAAAGGAGAGCTACTTACTATTCAACATGAAAGAGATTTGCTATCTGTTATTTAATATGATGCATAGCTGTTGCGTAATACAGTAGTTGAATACAGCCTGAGTGTTGTGTATACCTTCCCTAGATACCACTGACCTGAAAACTGAAAACCCCATAAAAAACATTTTAAATAAAATAACTGATAAAAACATGAAAATGTGTATATGAATTACCTTGAGACAATCGAGTTGACTGAAATCAAATGGCGTACTTGGAAAAACAGACTGACAGCATGGCCATTACAACCCTGTGCACCTATCTTGCATCATAAGTCCACACACAATTGGACAGTTTTTCCAACAAAGCCTTTTTCAGGTGTGAATCTATAATGCAACATCAGCAAACTGTTACATTTCTTCAGTAAATACACAAAACTTAATCCCCCATTGTCCAGTTAAATATTACTTTGTAAATTAATTCTAATATACATACAGACTCTGTATCGAATCAGTGGGCTTACTGCAGTGATGATTCTGACAGTTATTTGGTGTCTCTTTCCTTTTTAACATTACTTAACTGTATAAATACCTATGTACATATATAGAGCATCAAATCACACCTTGTTCAGTCACTAGTTTCTCTGTGCTGTTCTGTCTTTCCTTCTTTTCTCCTCGAATGTGTCCTTCATGTGTTCACGTTAACCTTTTCTCTGGAGCCTCCAAATATGTCTCACTAAAGGCGTCCTTGTATGTTAAAATTTCCTCTATAAGTAAGCCCTGGCGTGATCTCAAGCTGCACACATGTTGACAGATTACAGTAAATACAGTATAAAGGAATGATGGAACTTGACAGTCTTTGCTTCCTACGTTTTAGTTTTAAAGGAAGCTATTGTTTCGAAATCTCAGTCCTTGATTTTGATCTCTGAGATGCTCTGAGTGGAACTTAACAATGTTGACACTGATGTTTATCTCTTAAATTGAACATAGCAGAACTTATGTCAGTATTTCTGTTGATATTCAGTATTCTATCAAACATTTACAAAACTGTCTTTGATTGGAAAAATATGAAATTGCCAAAAGTATAACACAGCTCTTTCCAATCTCTTCTCTTCGTCTCTCATACAATTTAAATGTGCTACAAAAAGAAGTTTGGTGAAGTACAGCAAACACAGGCATGTAGGGTAAAAACAAATATTCACTACTCTCTTTGGTGGTCCCTAAATCTGTGCTTTGGTGCTCCTGAATGCAGGTTCGTGAATGAAGTCATCAGTGTGAAACATGTCTCTGCCGTTCCTATCTATGTCCTTGCTCAATCCCCCAGGGGTGGAAGTGCCCAGCGTCCAACAGCATTTGCCCCAGCCTCTGTAGAAGCCAAGGGTACCAGTGCAGGCCGTTGGTCTGCGGTTCTGAGGGTCTCATCAGGCTGTAGAAGAACCTCAGCGGGGCCAGGACCCAGTGGGCCAAATGGTGATTGTCCACAGCAGCATAGCAGGACGCAAGCACACCGTTCACCACTATGGAGCCATGCTGGGTCAGTGGGGCGTACAACCCGGTGCTCCTCTGCTCATCTACAAAGGTCACGACTGAAAGTGTTCCTTGTGACCCCGCTTTACCTTGTGATGTGAGTACGCACTGTCCCGGCTGGACCTCACTGGCAAAAACTGTCCGCAGACCTGCTTCCCAGCTCGGCCCGCCCCTCTGTACGGAGCCCAGAAGTGGCTCTTTAGCTGTCTCTCCCCACTTTGGCTCACTCAGCCCACCAGTGCAGTCTGTGACAAAGATCAGGTGAGCGGCGGTGAGAGTAATATTAAGTCCTGTGTTGGTGCCAATGGTGTAGAAGATCTTTGTGACGTTGGGCTGGCGGTCCAGGAAGGATAAGACCGGGCTGTAGAGAAGGGGGCCGTGACCATTTGTCGTTGAGGAGGCCAAGACGTGGTCACCAGGCTGGAGGTCACGCATCTGTTTAGTAGCCCCACCCTTGAGGACAACCTGAGCATTGCCAGGGAAGCAGCCACCGGTTTTGGCTGCCACAGAATGTTCTGAAGAGATGAAAGAAAGAGAAATACGATTATTTAATTTAACTTAGTTTTATTTTAATTTTTTGGTGATGATGCGTGGATGAGGAGTCAAAACATCAAGAGAAACAGTTTGAAGATTTGTCTGGAGTGGAGCAACAGCACTGCAGCGATTCAGCTTCTACAGTGGCTGAGGTCACTGAGTGATCTATAAAACAGGCAAGACTTTGACACTGACTCAAGGACAACTTTATCTCAGTGGATCAGCCGGAGACTGTTAACATACGTGACTCATATTCAAACTTTGTCTTTTCTTCCTCTTAGAACTCACTCACACACACACAGAAATATTGTTTTTACCAGCAGATGAGGATTTCTAACGCCAACCACAGTTGATCATTTGATTTTTCTAAACTGTATACATGATTTCTTCATTCAACAGGTTTGTGTGGCCCTCTAAGCAATCTCCAATACTTACACTAATATGAATGTGACTTGAAACCCTTTATATTGTCTCCAAAAAAAAGTTTCCAGAGGCTTTTCAAACACTTAAACTTAAAAATCAGTAAAAGAGCAGCTCTTCTGCTATTTTTTCATATAGATGTTTTCACTGTAAAGGAGACAGTTCACTCCCTTTGCCATGGCATGCATGTCTATTTTGCTACTCTACTTAATATGTCAAACCCAATTTGGCATGGTGACATCAGCACGACACAAGTAATATTAGAACAGCATGTTTGCTTCTGCTCTGTCGGGACAATGCCATACATGTAGGCCACAGATGCCACGGGATGCACACTCGGTCTTGGCGGAGTATTAAGAATAAGGTGGCCCTTTAAGATGCAGTGAGACGAGGTGGCAAGAAGAGGCAGTCAGCGAGAGCTAATGGATAACCAGCTGATTGTATCACCGCAGTCAGAGCACGGCCTGGGGTCAGAGAAACAGGAAAGTACACAGACTCAGACCTGGGTCTAGGAATTGTTTGGATTACAGCAGAGTTTGTGTTTTAAACAGAGTCACATGCCCGCTGTCTGTGGCTCCAAACAAGGAACAAGAACTGGCATATTGTAATAGCTTGACTCCTAACAATGAATACCGTACTGTGAAAAATTTGGGACTACTGAAGGCAAAATCAGTGTGTGTGTGTGTATGTGTGGGAGTATGTGTGTGTGAAGGTGTGTGTGTGTGTGTGGGAGGGTTGTCTAAAAGCAGTCTTAAGGCAGCCAAATATTTGTCCAAGGTGTGCATGTCTGCAAGCCAGAGGGCTGCAGAGAAGGAGGGCTGTGACCGGGAGGTGATAAGACTTAGATAAGAGATCTGAGAGAAACCTACTGAAGGAAAAGCAACAGCAAGACAAAGGGAGAGTTAATCATCTCACAGCTTACT